CATCAGTCCCGGTTGTCATACTGTATCAGAACAGAGACACAACTCTCAGTTCTAATCCCATAGTGGTAGTGATCGTAGAAGTATAATTCAGTGAGATAAACTTATAAATAGAAAGATAGAGATGATGAGGAATTCAGAAGGTTAGAATTTCAGAAAGAACACAAAGAGTGGATGTGCGCACCTGTGCCATCATTGCAAACGATGTTGAGCCACGTGGTTCAAGGTCTCTAACCATTGGTGACTTTCGTGTGGCCGACCCCCAACCAGGTAGCCTATATCTACCATCTAGATCTTGACGACAATTAACAGCCCTAATGAATTACAATAACTCAAGTTTATCATGACAAAATCATGTTTTATTTGTAACCATGAATCGATCAATGTTAGACCACCATTAGAAACCTGGAAGCACTGGACGGCCGTTTCGTCCTAGTATGGGACTCATCAGCAGTGCGCATCCACGACTCCTGCTCCTCGCAGGATTAGAACCCAGGACCTTTGGTTTTGTGCGCAAACGCCTAAACATCGGACCACTGAGCCGGTATCTAACGGTGTTAATGTCTCACTTGATCAATTCACGGAGTTGCGCAACCTCATACACAGTCTTCGGTAGTTACTGTCTACACCCGAATAGGTTGAACTTCACTGGTCACGTCTTCCCACTAGAACTCGGAGAAGATTCCTCACAAAGCTAGTCACTAGTGAGCACAGGTAATTTGCGTTACGGGGTTGTGAAGATTGTCATGTTACGCATTTTTTGAAACCATAAATCGATCAATGTTGAGGAGTCCCATACTAGGACGAAACAGCCGTCCAGTGCTTCTAGGTTTCTAATGGTGGTCTAACGTTGATCGATCCATGTTTTCAAATATGTATATGGTAAATTATGGTATGGTTGTAGAGTATTGAAAACTTGATCTTGATCGTAAGAATTTGTGACTATAATGATTATCTATCCCTATTGTGAATATGCTATCATCACATTTCAGTTCGTTTATTTCTCTTCCTGAATTATTGATACACATCTATATATATTGTAGTATGTCGATTTACTGCGTGTGTTCTTAAGCTCGGTAATTAGCTCGTCTAGTCGATCGTTACTAATTAACGTCTGAAGGTTTATACACTAGAAGATAAACTCGTAGTGTTGAATACGTTTATTTGGGACACACCACAAAGCGAAGCGGAGAAGCAGTGAATAAAACGAATGAAGCGATGTGAATTGGAGAGGGCTGTTGAGCCAACTCCTAGGATTACAATGCGAAAGAATGAGCGAAGGAAGCGGATAAACAGGTGAAGCGCGTCGGAGAAGGCTAACGAGCCAACTCAAAGAGATACAGCATGACTAGGAACATATATAGTCAGACAAATATAAGACAGACATGTGATCAACCAGATAGGTATGCACATACATGAATGAAAGCGACGAATAGTTGACAAGATCAAATGACAAGTGGTGGAACACATCATGTGAGCTCATCATACAAACCAGACAATAATAATAAGAACGAATGGTACAACATATAAATTGTTGCAATACAAATAAATGGCTTGGTTGGTTAAATAAATTATTAATCGAAAAGGGCTTAACCAAATTAAAAAATGTAAGCGAACTGGATGGAATATATGTGGAGGCACTACAATTTTATTGTAAATTCATTGTTCAATAATTATTATTGTTATTATTAGTTCAGGAAATTATTTAATTGTAATAAATTCATTGTCATCTAGTTAGTTTTAATGACACCGATCTTTAAGAATAAATAGCAAAGTGGATGTGTTGTGTGAGCTACTTATAAGTAGTATATGACGGGAGTGTCAACGTAATGTCTGGCAGCAGAAGATAGGGGGGAAGATCAAGAAAGGAACAGTTAGAAGAACACAATCGGATTTGTATGAAACGCATGAACAGTAGTGACAATGGATTGATCTTCTGCAACGGGAACAGTCCAGTTCGATATGATGATGAACTGATATTTTGCAAATGAACAATTTACGATATGGTTTTCCTATTTTACTACTGAATAACTCTGTAATTTTTTCGTTAAATACAATTCGGTTGCCCTCACCTGTGTTCTCGTTGACTACAGATGGATGGATGGATGTGGATACATTGTAACACTGTATTATTCTATAAAAAAAATTTTTCTTCAATTTGTCAATGAATGAACCTTAAATTAACTTCTATAAATAAAAATCGAGAACAAAAAAAGAAGTGGAAAAAGAAAAGATTAGAGAACAATACTTTTTAATAGTACACACCTAATGATGATCAGCATCATGTCACGTGACTCTAAAACAACAACAACAACTACATTGTACGTTGATCAGGAGAATTAGGAATAACAACATCAACAACACTATGACCACTGATAATAACAGTACTAATGTATTTTATTTTTTTAAAGCAAACCCTTTGATTATGTTATTATTACAATCGCCACTGTGTCCTGTTTTTATTTCTTCATTGTAATAGCAAAAAAAGGAAAAAATGCTTTTAATTTTTTTCGATCTATTCTTATGCTGAGAAGAAAAAAAACTGTACAATTACCATGATCATAAGATCGGTCAATAATTTATCTCAATCAGCTTTCTTTGAATGAGTTTGTTTGTTTTCAATCTATGTGTATCTATGTGTGTGTGTGTGTGGGGTTGGTTGGGTGGGATAAAACAATATTCATTCATTCATTCATGCATTCAACCTTAGTTACATATTTTTTTCATATTTATCGTTTGTTTTTGTTTATTCCTTTTGATTGGTAGGCAAAGTTTTTTTACTAGGTGTGTGTGTGTGTTGCTAAGGGTGGACGGATTAGATTTGCCTTTTATTATTATTATTATTATTATTATTACTAGTTTCAAAGGCATTGTTTTGTTGTTTTTTTCAATTTAAAATGTTGAAGGTCACATTCTCTTTGTTTTCCTTTTAATGTACGTGAGTGTGCGTGTGTGTGTGTGTGTACACATATCCTATTGTTTAAAAACGAGAGCAACATTTTGATGAGATAGTAAAAGCGTTCGCTTTAAACAATCGGTATGTACGACGGATAGACCCCTGATACGCGCGCGCGCACACACACACAGACACCCATTTACATTTACATACATAAATAGGAACGTACACAGATGAAAAAAGGCGAATTTGTACATCTTGTATTGTTAACTTGACTCAATCTTTATTATCATTGAGAAAATATGGATGTGACGACCAGAGAGAGAGAGAAAGAGAGAGATTGTGCCTGTTTGGATAGATTTATTAATAATAATAATAATAATAATAATAATAATAATAATAATTTCTATCCTCTATAAATGATGTATGTTGTTAACTAGTTGGGCTGAACCAGTTGACCATCTGATAACTTGAATCAACCATATTGAATTTTGTTGATTTTTCTCATAGGAACATAGTGTGAATCTTTAACAATAACAAAGCAAAAGACTTACTCACAGTTGAATTTATTGAAAGACTATTTCTTTGTTGGTTTGTTGGTTTGTTGTTACTGACTGTTTATATTTTTTATACCCTAGTTTCTTGCTTTGATGATGATAAGTCAATTTTCATAGATTGATTTTTAACGTTTGCTTAGATCTGATTGCTTACTGTTAGTGTGAGGAAGTAAGTTAGAAGGATTTGTTTGTGTGTGTGCTTTAATGCGTATGAGGGCGGATATCACTTCCCGGCTGCCCATACCGTGCAAGGATGTTTCTTGAGGAATCTGAAAAGGAAGGTAGATTAGTGTTGGTCTTGGAGACCTAGTAGCGTGACCACAGAGTCCAAGAGACAACTGTTTGAGGCCAATCCCTCACGGCATTTTTTATCAAAGGTTTTTTGAGTATTAGCTCTACTCTTTTAAAGACCTTATTGGGAAGCCCTTATCAACGGAGACGGCAATCCGTGAGGTAGGGTGAAGTGTAACATTTTTAGGGTCGACTTTTTCTAACCCTTCCTTGCCTGTGAGAAGGCAGCATCGCTGCAGATACTGGTTGTCCGAGGGAAACAGCTTACTGCTGTCACGCCCATCTGCAGTTACTAGTACTGAGAAGACTGAGGCAGGCGCGGTAGATTGTATTTAGCAAATTTACACTCTTAGTCAATTAAAAACGAAAACATTACATTGAACACTCTATTTGCACACCATCTTTGAGTCCTGACTTCCAACGCTCCATCCTTCTTCTTCCATTCCTGTTGTTGTTGCTTCCTTTACTTCCTGTTGGTACTCCATTTAGTTCTTGCTTTTGCTCCATTTGCTCTCTGTTTTCCTCTTCTGACCGTGGTGAGACTTCTTCTTTCACTTCACACCCTCTTATAATATTTATATCGTTCGTATAAGTAGCACACACCACAGTACGACTTCACCCTCAGACCTAGTGAGGAAGTAAGGTCAAATGAAAAACTATGCTTCCCTTATAGAATTATTTTAAAGGCAGTGAACAGATTACTGATTTCATAATCTACCAGTCGTTTAAGAAGATTTCTTTTTTCACTGAGGCTTTCAGCCTATTTATATGTTTATATTCGGCTGACAGGAATAATTTATCGATCAGTGAATAACGATTGTTAGCGTCATGATTGTTAATGACTAAAGCTTTAACGTTGAAAATTGTTTTATGGCTTGTTTGAAATGATTTATAGTAAGTGATTTAACAAGTAAATTTGTAATGGCAACTCTCTACGCGGGCATTACCCATTTCAGTTGTTCTTCTTCTCAAAACGATTATTGAAAGTTACTGTTGAACAGAAGAGGTGGTTTTTTTTCGAGAAAATCTCTTTGAAATCTCAACACGATTGATAAAAAAGTCGAATTTATCTGTGCTTATCAAACAACAAGTAGTTTTATCAGAAATTTATGAAAATGTTGATCATTACTGAATCGATTTTGTTTTTTGAGCTGTTAATTCTCCTAACTGATGCTGATTATCGTTTGTGCACACTCTAATCATTGTTATGCCATTATTGATTTATTGATTTTCCATTTTCTCTTTCATTCAATTTATAGGTGATTAATTAAACTATTCATTCTATACAGATAATAAGAAACAAAAATGTTATGCAATTTACCATGTCGAATTGTTTTGATTGCTATGAACACTGTCAGTTTGGTAAGTTACAATAGGCAATGAATTTTTTTTACATGTTTACATGTTTATATGTTTGTTAATCGTATTGAAAAGAAAGATATTCTTGTTAAATTTCTTAAGTTACACATTTTTTCAAACCATGAATCGATCAATGTTAGACCACACCATTTGAAACCTGGAAGAAGCACTGAGAGACGGCCATTTCGTCCTGGTATGGGACTCCTCAGCTCATTGGTCCGATGGTAAGGCGTTCGCCTACAATGCCGAACGACTGATCTAGTAAGACAAAGTGCATATTGGCCAGGCATGAGAGACGATGTGGCACAATATGTATTGACTTTCTAGCGGTGCCAACTAATGAAAAGTAGTCGATACATACACCCTCCATCGCAGTCAGTTCCCGTAACTGAAGTTGCTGATCTATGGTCAGTGGATGTGATGGGACCGTTCCTGCAGACGGCCAGCGGCAATCAATACCTGGTGGTTATGACAGAACATGCCACACGGTGGGTAGACGCCGTACCAATTCCAGATCAGCGGCCAAAAACAGTGACGGAAGTAGTCATCCGACACATTGTGGCATGTCACGGAGTACCGAAAAAAATATTAACTGATCAGGGTCCCTGTTTTGAAAGTGACGAGTTTAAATCCCGTCTGGAACAGTTCGGTATCAAGAGAATACGAACTACACCATATCATCTACAGACTAACGGGCTTACAGAAAGAAACAACCGGACTTTAAAAGAATGGTTAGCTTCTAAAGGAGGGAATTGGCAGAAGGAATTACCACTAATCTTGCTAGCGCATCGTGCCTCAATACAAGGAACAACCAAGAAATCACCTTTCCTGTTTATGTACGGGAGACATCCGCGACTTCCAATGCACAATAAGACATGGCCGCAACAACAGAAGTGGACGGCAACAAGGTTAAAGAAGGAGAGAAAGGAGGCACACAACGACAGAACAGCAGAGTAGGCAGTGGAAGCCGTTTAAAGTCGGGGACCTTGTAAAATGTAGAGAACGGAAAGGCACCGTAGCATGGGGACAAGGATCAGGGAAGCTGCTCCCGAAATGGGAAGGACCGTACATTGTTATTGAGAGACGTGGCTCTGTTTATACGATACGGAAAGGAGACAACCAAAAACGCGTGAATGCCAGTCAACTGCACAGGTGGTTGCAAGATTATCAAGCGTGTGAGTCACGAAAAGCACCAAAGATGACAACGGTACGGCAATCAGAAAGACTACGACCACAGCTTATTAAAAGGGGGGACGATTGTGGTGCGAGCTACTTATAAGTAGTATATGACGTGAGCGTCAACGCAGTGTATGGTAGCAGAAGATCAAGATCGGAAGATCAAGAAAGGAAGAGTGGGAACACAATGGAATTTGTATGAAACGCATGAACAGTAGTGACAATGGATTGATGTTTTGCAACAGGAACAGTCCAGTTCGATATGATGATGGACTGATATTTTGCAAATGAACAATTTACGATATGGTTTTCCTGTTTTACTGAGTAACTGTAAGTTTCGTTGAATATAATTCGGTTGTCCTCACCTGTGTTCTCCTTCACTACAGTAGTAGTACATTTAAGCTTTACATAAATAAATGAAATTCACAGGTAGGATATCATGAAGTAATAAACAGTATTAGGTTGTTTAATTCAACTGCAATTAGAAAGTGTTCATTTAAGTCTACAAGGCATAGTTTTTCCTTTTCTTTTGAAAACTTTACTTGATCACTCACTTCACAATCATGAAGGCAATGGCAGCAGTAGTATTCACAATTCATGAATGAAAGTAATTTTTAATTTTGGTTACTTTTCATTTAAAATCATTCAATATATAAAATAGATTAGTGTATATTGTGTTGACCTTAACTTCACTTCATGTATATATCTGTTGTATATATATATGCAATAATTTGTATGTTGTTGTAACTTATAAAATCACTGATCAATGATCAATGTTCAATGATCAATGTCTAATCAACCAACAACAATGGTGGTAGAAAAATACAATTTTTTTATTGTACATTTTCAATAATTTATACCATCTGTTATTGTATGTATGTATATTTAAAAACAATAGATTTTTCATGAAATTGGATCCATATATACATATGTATTTTGTGATGATGATTATGAATAGATGAATTATATGGACATGAAATAAAAATGAACTTAGTTTAAAAGATAATTATTGCTAACAGTAACAACAATAAAATAGGCTTTTATGCAAAGAATCCACCATATTGATTGAACATGACTAGCTTTTATTTAATAATAAGAATATTAACTACAAGGATAATAAGAAACAACAATGAATATTTATGATTAGTCAATAATCACTGTTGTCAATATTATTATGCATTGAAATCATGTTGGTAGATGTCAACTACCTGGTTGGGGTCCGCGAGACGAAAGTCACCAATCGTTAGAGATCTTGAACAACGACATGGCTCAAAATCGTTTGCAATGGCAAAAGTGCATCCATTCGTTGGGTGAGCTCTCTCAAATCCTAATATTCTGGATTCGTCAGCACCTACTCGACCTTTGTCTTTCTAATCTTATCTTACTGAATTATACTTCTTAAATAATATTTTCAAACCCTAGTCTTCTTCATTACCATTAATCCGTCTACTATCTTTATCACTATGGGATTTGATTTGACATTTGCATCTCTGTGCTAATGTGGTATGGCAACATGAACTTATGTACATACGTACGAAGTTCTTACGTTACAACTGACTGACTTGCATAGATCAATGTTAGACTACCATTAGAAACTTGCAAACAATGGACTGACTTATTGTCCTGGTATCGGACTCATCAGCAGTGCCCATCCACGACTGCTGCACCTCGAACTCGAGACCTTCGGTTTTGTGCACGGACGCCTAACCTCGGGTTCGTTGAGCCGACATCTACACTGTCTTCGGTGAGCACTGTTTTACACTCGAACAGGGATGAACTCCCCTGGTCAAGACTGTTCACTAGAACTTGGAGAAGATTCCTCACAGAACTAGTCACTACTAGTAAGCCAAATAATTTGCATGATCGGTCTAATATTGATCGATTTTATGATTTCACCTGGTGTATTTATGATTAGTGTTTACAACCATTATGTTCTATCGTAGTAATCGTAATAATAATAATAATAATAATAATAGTAGTGTAGTGAAGGAGAACACAGGTGAGGACAACCGAATTATATTCAACGAAACTTACAGTTACTCAGTAAAATAGGAAAACCATATCGTAAATCGTTAATTTGCAAAATATCAGTCCATCATCATATCGAACTGGACTGTTCCTGTTGCAAAACATCAATCCATTGTCACTATTCATGCGTTTCATACAAATTCCATTGTTTTCTTCTAACTCTTCCTTTCTCTTGATCTTCCCCCATCTTCTGCTGACAGACATTACGTTGACACTCACTTCATATACTACTTATAAATAGCTCACACGACAGTAGTAGCAATCATAAACACTGTATCATTTAGTGAAGTCATTCATTATTGCATTGTTACACAGCTAATTTGATGAGATAAAATTCGTGCTTGTCCTCATCAACAGGGACAATCGAATCGATGAATGGAATTATTGTAATGAATATTTATCTTCCTCTATATGCCTTTTTATTGTTTTCATTCTTATACCTTTATTCGCTTCCTTCATTTATCTCCTCACTGTGTGAAATAATGACTGAATGATATTTTATTTTTTCAAACTTAAAGATTGTCGGACTGGCATTGCTCATACTTGGAGCTTTAATGGTTTGGGGTCAAACTGTGATTCAATCACTGCTGAATAATTTTATCACCAATCTAATCAGTCAATATATGAAAGGAAGTGATACTGGACAAATTAATGAACTAGTTACAAGAATACTGACGTCTACTTGTAAGTAGTAGTAGTAGTAGTAGTAGTATGTTTCGTTATTGATAAAGTTTTTCTTGTATTATTATTATTTTTATTTGTTATTTTATCGTTCATTGATGAAATCAACTTATTGTTGTTTTTTTATCTCTAATACTGAGATTTGAATGAAATCAGATTGAGACTTTAGGATATGCATTACGGGGTTGTGAAGATTGTTAAGTTACACATTTTTTGAAACCAAGAATCGATCAATGTTAGACCACCATTAGAAACCTGGAAGCACTGACAGACGGCCTTTTCATCCTGGTATGGGACTCCCTAGCAGTGCGCATCCACGATTCCTGCACCTCGCAGGATTCGAACCCGGGACTTTTGGCATTGTAGGCGAACGCCTTACCATCGGACCACTGGGCCACTGGACGTGACCAATGGAGTCCAACCCTGTCGGGTGTAGGCAGTAACTACCAAAGACAAATCAGTGAGGTCGCGCAAAATCACAGTGGTCCGATGGTCAGGCGTTCATCTACAATGCCAAAGGTCCCGGGTTCGAATCCTGCGAGGAGCAGGAGTCGTGGATGCGCACTGCTGATGAGTCCCATACCAGGACGAAACGGCCGTTCAGTGCTTCCAGGTTTCTAATGGTGGCCTCCATAAACTTAGAAATTCGTCCTTCAACATTTCTTTCACAATGTTTTGAAGGCTGTCTTGATGTCAATCTTACGCTCTGTCTCTTCTCAATTATGTGTTTTGCGATCGATGAACATGGTTTTCTATTTCCAACTTTAATCGGCTCATCTGACGTCAACTAATTTTGAAGCCACTTAGGTATGTGATGTTCCATAATCCTTGATTGTAAAGTCCAATTACTCCTCTCTATGTATGTGTGTCGATACAAACATGTCAATTGATAAATACAATGGGATGTGATGTATTCATCATTCGAGCAGCGTTTAAGCCTATGTGAAATCATGGGCTTATTCTTTTCAATGATAATCAGTTTAGCAGTGTAGTATGTTTTCTCTATGACTGCTTTTAGTCTCTGTGTGACCTTATTATGCCTGAACAGTTTAGCTATAACTTTTTGATGATCTGGTTGGTGATTGATTGAATTAAGTGTCATTAACTGTATTTCCCTTGATAAAGGAATTCTCTATGAAGAATAAATATCTCAGTTATATGAATTGAGCAAACAATAAAATGTAGAAAAGCTTGTACAATATTCGGAAACGTGTATAAAGACACACTACTTGAAAAAAACACATCATATTTTCATCTTAGGTTGTGGAAATAACATCAACTACTTCAGCTGTACAACTGATTGTACTCTTGAATTGTTTTATTAATTGGTTATACAGATTTAAGAAATGTAATCAGTACAATTACAGTCATCACTAGTTAACTACTGACCAATTTTATCATGTGAACTACAGAGACAACAGCTGTACTCACCTACTGTCTGTTACTGATCATAAATTTATGTGAAAACCTTTCAAGGAATCAGTATCGAATAGAATAGAATAGAATGTGATGACTATCAGTGGAATATAGGAGATAGCCATTTTGGCCGATTTAAAACTTAAAAGCGGAAGAATGTATGTGTTCATTTGGAGTATATTATTTTTATCTATTTTGTCCAAGATAAACGGAATAGAGTTTGAGTTTCAAACACATTTCCCAGTATTACCTTAAACTAATAACAATCTATAGGTATTATTCTTCACAAATTATTCTTATTTTTGGCATAGGGTTAGAAACTAAGAAGCATTAGATAGCTAGATCACTTTAGTGTAGCGAAATAAACCACCCCAGGGCTTGAAATCAAAATATTTTTTCGAGATATTCAGAGATCACATTCAATCAGTTTACGATATGTGGTATGAAATTATTTACTATCATAAGTGACAACTATTTCATCAGTATCAACACATCTGAACTCCATAGTTATCTAAAATCGGTAACAGCATAGACTTTATTTCGACTACGAGAAAGCTTTCGATAGCGTGGATAGGAAAACACTAGGGAGGCTTCTTCGACACTACGGCGTGCCTGAGACGATAGTCAACATCATACGGAGTTCTTATGATAGATTCAACTGCAAAATCGTACACGATGGACAGCTAAGAGACACTTTAGAGGTGACGACCGGTTTCAGGCAAAGTTGCTTACTCTCACCCTTTCTCTTTCTCCTGGTCATCGACTGGATTGTGAAGACGTCAACATCTGGAGGGAAGCACAGGTATTCAAGTGAAGAGCTAGGACGCAGCTGGACGATCTGGACTTCGCAGATGATCTGGCTCTTCTATCGCACACGCAACAACAAATGCAAGAGAAGACGACCAGTGTAGCAGCAGCCTCAGCAGCAGCTGCAGGTCTCAACATACATAAAGGAAAAAGCGAAATTCTCCGATGCAACACAACATGCACCAACCAAATCACTCACTCTTGATGGAGATGCCTTGGAGGACGTTAACAACTTTACATATCTGGGCAGCATCATCGACAATCAAGGTGGATCCGATGCAGATGTGAAGGCGCGGATCGGCAAAACAAGGGCTGCATTTCTACAATTGAAAAATATCTCGAACTCACAACAACTTTCAACCAAAACCAAAACCAGCATTTTCAATACAAATGTCAAGACAGTTCTACTGTATGGAGCGGAAACATGGAGAACTACCAAAGCCATCATCCAGAAGATACAAGTGTTTTTTAGCAGCTGCCTACGCAAAATACTTCGTATTCGTTGGCCAGACAACATCAGCATCAACCTACTGTGGAAGAGAACAAACCAGAATCCAGTGGAGGAGGAAATGAGGAAGAAGCGGTCGAAGTGGATAGGACACACACTACGAAAAGCATCTGACTGCGTCACGAGACAAGCACTCACATGGAACACTCAAGGCAAAAGGAAAAGAGGAAGGCCAAAGAACACACTACGCCGTGAAATAGAGAAAGATATGAGAGGAATGAACAAACATTGGACAGAACTGGAGAGGGAAGCCCATGACAGAGTTTGTTGCAGGAAACTGTTGGGTGGCCTATGCTCCATTGGGGGTAACAGGCTTAAGAAAGTAAGTAAGTAAGTTAATACGCTCTATTTATTTCGACATCATACTGAACACAGTCAAATAGAGAAACGTTCTTTCTACAATCTTAAATTGCTTAAAACATCATGTTTGACTTAGAGAACTATAGAGACCAAGTTGATTGCATACAATCGACCATATCTAAAAAAACAATGAGTTTTCAACTGATTCGATAAAATCATTTGAAAATAGATTCATGTCACATAATCTGCCTTTAATTTTTTATTTTGTGAAAGATTTTCTTTAGATTATAGAACTGTCTGTCAGTAAACTACTTACTATCAAGTGTTTGCATTATCGTATGATTTTTAATCAGTCAATCTATTTATTAAAATCCCCTATTTAAACTTTGATTAACGATTTTTAATGTCTGAAAATGCATTAACACCGAACATATTATTTGCCTAATTAATTAATTTTTCATATTACCATTTTACTGACCCATAAAATGATTTCAATTCGTGTATATACATATATATATATATATCGATCGATGCCGAGTGAATAAGTCACTTTTTAAAACCAAAATAATATTGAGTATATTTCATTTCAATGTAAGGTGGAACTGATTAGATGATCGATTGTAAATCATATTCTATTCATAATAAATAGATTCGATTTTCAGATGGTGGAGAAAACTTGTAGCTCAGGTGGATGATTGTGGTGGTGGTGTTTCGTTCTCTGAGCTTTGGATGTTTTGGTTGAGTGGAGCTTTCATTGTTTTTCTTCTGTTGAACAATATCATCAACAGCACAATCCACAGATAGAAAAAGTGAAGCATTCGAATTTCTCCACGTTTGACCTGTATAGCTTGTTCTGTTAACCTCGATCTTGATTGGTTGCTGTTGACCTTAAACATGTCGTTGTTTGCACCTTTGTTTTGATTGCATCCCCCTTTTGATCTGTTTCTTGATCCTATACTAACCTATGATTTTTCTGATTGATTGATAAATTGGGTCAATGTCGATGTGTTTATTGATTGATGGCTGATTGACCTGAGTGCCAAGCTTCTGAAAATTCTCTAGTGTTCTCTCCCTATCCAGTATTTTCACATTGTTCCAGTCGAATGTGTGTCCATAATTGTCGGTATGTATTGATATAAGGAAAGAGTTGTCGTGGTGTTTGACTGCTAATTGGTGTTCACGTAAACGAGGTTAAAGAGGCCGTCCACTTTATCCTATGTAGTGTTTTTCACAGTCTGACCAATTTATTTTGTAGATGATATCTGGTTTTTCTTCCTTTGTGATTTTGTCCTTTGGTCTACATAGGATTGATTGAAGTGATTCTGTTGGTTTGTGTGCCACACCCATTCCAAATGGTTTCAGTATTCGTGCTGTATGCTACGATATGCATTTGATGTATGGCAGGATGATCCATTTATTGGTTTTTGCACTTGATTTCGCTTCCGTTGATGGTTAAAGTTGCTGCGTTTTGATGAAGTCGATCGGATAGCCGTTTTTATGGAAGATGGTCATTAGACATTTTTCACCGATGTCTCCGAAGCGTTGTTCGTGTATCATGGGACAACCGTATAAGCAGTGCTGTCGTTAGGAAACGGGTGCTAGATAAGGATGGCAGATCAATAGATGAAGTGGTGAAACTTCATTAGTTGAGGTGGTTGGGACATGTGTTACGAATGCCTAACCACCGACTGCCTCGACGAGCTATGTTTTGTGGCGTAGGAGTAGATTGGAAGAAAGCTAGGAGCGGCCAGACCAAAACACGGATGAAATTCACGAAGTCAGTGACAAGTGGACTGAGTCATGTTGGTAGATGTAGACTACCTGGTTGGGTTCCGCGAGACGAAAGTCACCAATGGTTAGAGACCTTGAACAACGACATGGCTCAAAATCGTTTGCAATGGCAAAAGTGCATCCATTCGTTGTGCTCTCTCAAATCCTAATGTTCTGGATTCGTTAGCACCTCTACCTTTGTCTTTCTAACCTTATCTCACTGAATTATACTTCTTGAATGATATCTTCAAACCCTAGTCTTCTTCATTACCGTTAATACCTCTACTATCTTTATCACTATGGGATTTGATTTGACATTTGCGTGTCTGTGCTAATGTGGTTCTACGTTGCAACTGACTGACTGACTGCCTCGATGTAGACGTTTCACTTTTTACACCAATACCGAAATGTTTCCAGTGTTGAAAGCCACAACATCAACACTGGGATACGGGCAGTGTAGGATGATCAATCAATCTGTTTTGAACCAGAGTTTTCCGTTATAGAGATGATAATCACAATGTGAAAACGAGTTTTTTTCATTAGTCGCTTCCAGGTTCATATGTATCATTTGTTGAATAGAACAGCAGAACAGCATTATACAAAAATCTTCCATACAATCAAAATTCACCATAAAATTTGCATTAATGTCTTATAAATTGTCCAGATTACAATGAATCATAACTGGTTACATAACTGGTAACAAGCTTTCTAGTGTCAGTTGTTTTCTGTTGTAAATTATTTTCTAAAGCTGAACAGTCTTCACACAATTTGATAATAATAATAATAATAATGATTAGGCGATTTGAGATGAATATCTCTAAAGTCTTATTCAACAAAACATCAACTGTTTGAAGTTTATTCATGTTGGAAGTAAGATATTTTGCATGACGGCTGGCAAAGCAAGGGCTGCATTTCGACAGTTGAAAAGTATCTGCAACTCCAAACAACTTTCCACCAAAACCAAAATCACGATTTTCAATACAAATGTCAAGACAATTCTACTGTATGGAGTGGAAACTTGAAGAACTACGAAAGCTATCATCCATAAAATACAAGTGTTTATTAACAGTTGTCTACGCAAAATACTTCGTATTCGTTGGCCAGACACCATCAGCAACAACGTATTGTGGGAGAGAACAAACCAGAATCCAGTGAAGGAGGAAATGAGGAAGAAGTGGTGGAAGTGGATAGGACACACACTACGAAAAGCACCTAACTGCATCACAAGACAAGCTCTCACATGGAACCCTCAAGGCAAATGGAAAAGAGGAAGGCCAAGGAACACATTACTTTTCCGAGAAATGGAGAAAGATATGAGAGGAATGAACAAACATTGGACAGAATTGGAAAGGGAAGCCCATGACAGAGTTTGTTGGAGAAAACTGATGGGCGGCCTATGCTGCTCCATTGTGGGTGACAGGCGTAAGTAACTACCGAATATGACATAAACTTGAAATCAATCTCTACTGAATCCGTTACTCTCAATTTGAGTGAAATTTTTTTTCGATCTCACCGACAAATTTTAACCTCTTCCCTATCCAGTTACTGACACATGAACAGATTAGATGCCAACTTCAGTATGTACAACATACATGTTGTTTCAACTATTCAAATCATTATAGACCAACTTCCTCATCGTCATCATTATCGTCCACTCTATGGTCAATACTTCCGTTTTTGGTAACCTTTTCATTGCTTCAATTTTTAACATTTAGAGTGGGGGGAATCGATTTCTGTTATTGTCGTACACAAACACACATAAACACACACTGTTTTGATTTGTCAAAGCTGAGTAACACTTCATCTTTATATTCCTCCACGTTCAGCCATAATTTCTATCATCCAAGAATTATTTTTTGTTTCACTTAAATCACAAAAAAAATAATGACTTATTTATTATCTATCTATCTATCTAAATTACTTATTTCTATCACTGCTATACACTATTTCCAGCTCCAGTTGGTTTGGCCGTGTTTATACTAGGCTGTGTGTGTGCTGGGATCTCATTGTTTGGTTATTGTGGTGCTTGTTGCAATATGAAAATACTACTTTATATAGTAAGTTGAAATGATTTAGAGCATTTTTGTTATTGTTTGTCGAATGGTAGTATAAATCAATAAAAAAAATATTTTATTTTTTTTAACGCGAACATTCATATTTATTTTTACTGATGAGATGATATTATATATAATTCAATATATATTGCAGATTGGTTAACGCCTACTTAATGAAATTGGGTGTATACACCAATATTCATTCATGTAAATAAAAAGCTGAGTAGGATTTTTCTGTTTTTATTTGATTCCATATATAGAAGTTTGCAAATACTGATGATGATTAATGTAACTCAGAAATATCCTCTGGCTATTATTATGATTACTTGATTGATTGACTGGACTGAGTGAGTGAGTGAATGAGTGAAAAGCAAGCGCTTTTGTGATGATGATGATGATGACCTGTAAAACAAAAAGAATACTTGTGATGAAATGTAAATTACTCACAGTTAATATTTCTCATAATGTATGAGTCGCAAAATTTATCAAGAGTAGGCATCAAGTATTTGGTTGTCTTACTAATAAGATTATACAGTTTTGAAACCATGAATCGGTCAATGTTAGATCACCATTAGAAACCTGGAAGAAGCACTGGACGGCCGTTTCGTCCTGGTATGGGACTCCTCAGTGACAGTGGGCACCCACGACTCCTGCACCCCGCAGGATTCGAACCCACGACCTTCGGTTATGTGCGCGAACGCCCTAACCGATAGACCACTGAGCCGGTGTCCAACGGTGTTAATGTCTAACTTGATCAAATTCACAGAGTTGCGCAACCTCATACACAGTCTTCGGTAGTAGTTACTGTCTACACCCGAACAGGTTGAACTTCACTGGTCACGTCTTCCCACTAGAACTCGGAGAAGATTCCTCACGAAGCTAGTCACTAACTAGTGAGCACAGGTAATTTACATTACGGGGTTGTTGTGAAGATTGTTAAGTTACACATTTATTTTGAAACCATGAATCGATCAATGTTAGACCACTATTAGAAACCTGGAAGAAGCACTGAGAGATGGCCGTTTCGTCCTGGTATGGAACTCCTCAGCAGTGCGCATCCAATCAAAAGCAAACTTAAGTCGATTTGTTGTCTCAATGGTTCTTCGCATAGTATGAACTCTTTTTCTTCATCGTATACTGTTATTATTTTCACTGAAATGTCTTTTTAAATGTAATTAAATTGAACCAGTCATTTCTACAATAATTGGAGAAATATACTTACTCTTACAGTTTGAGTAAATTGATTATTCTAGTTGAACATATCGACTAGATATTAATTCATTTAACAAATAAAATAATTTAAAATATTATAGGTACTAACTATAAGCTACTGAACTCGTTAAATAAGTAGTATAGTAATTATTGTCATTTTTTTAATGTAAGCTATAGTTGAATTTTATTGAAAACCTGGAATCCGTTTACAAGCTTTTCAAGAGTAGTTCATCCACAACTAAACACATGAGAGTAGAGCTACTCACGAGAGCTAAATCTCTTCTATACCACTGAACTGTGGTATCCAGTGGTGTGTGAGTGTTGAACAGCAAGCAGTCAATCCACAACATTGCATGATCATCTTTTAAATAATTTAGACTTTTGCTATTCATGACTAATTGTCTCTATTTTACATTTGTTTCCATTCAGTATGCAATGTTAGTCGGCGTTTTGGCGCTTGCTTTTCTCGTCACATTCAGTGTGTATTTCTCACGCAAAGATGAAGTAAGTTTAATTCCTTTTCTCATCAATGACAATCTTTATATAAATTATGATGAATTGACTGACGTTTATGTAGTCGTCATTTAGTCAACCAGCATCTATACAACCGAATTGATCCATTCTTAAACAAAATGTTGTACAATTACAACAATTCATTGATCAAAATAAGTAGAAAATTTGCATTGAACATCTATGCTGATCATAGGGTAATTTATAGAGTTGGCGCGAAAATAGAGTACTATCAAAATTCGAATGAGTGATGAAAATGATAAGCGAAGACTATTTGATAAAAAAATAATATATTATCAATGTAACATATAGGTTTAAATATTTTCCAAATATATGCTTTTCTATAATCGAAAGTTCATAAACTGTTAGGAGATATTGATTGGTGAATTAGAGTCACGGAGACTAGTTTGTTTTTTTTGCACATCATTCATTGTTAGACCACCATTTGAAACCTGGAAGCACTGAGAGATGGTCGTTTCGTCCTGGTATGGGACTCATCAGCAATACGCGACTCCTGCACCTCACAGGATTCGAACCCGCGCGCAAACGCCTCACCTCTGTGCTGGTATCCGACTAGGTTAATCTCTAGCTATGATTGATCTAGGGATTTTGCGCATCCTTACCCATTTGTCTTTGGTAGTTATTGCCTACACCCAACAGGAGTGAACTCCACTGGTCACATCTTCTCACTAGAACTCCGAGAATCTCCTCACGAAGCTAGTCACTAGTGAGCACATTTTACGATATTTTCAATTAGAGTTATGGAGATTGATGATTTCAGCGTGCAGATTGATTGATGTTTAAACAATTCTATGAAAGTAGAAAAGTCCCTTACAATATTTTTAAAGAGATACTAGCCCAAAGAAATTGATGCGATAACTCACTATCCATTATTCTTCCCTAACTTGAAGATTTTCAAAGTTAACAGTAACTCAAATTTTTTTTCGTTAAACAATCGAATTTGAAAACTTAGTCTTCAGATTTCCTTTAGAATTCAAATACAGAATACATGAAATAAATTTTCTAAATTAGCAGCAATGAAGAGTATGCGTAGCATACATTTATGGTCTGTGCACTAGACTTAATTCAATATAAAACCATTTGGTAAACTATCTAACAATGAAATATGTAATTGGTACTTTGTACATTATATTCAAACGATTGATGATCAATTTGAACTCATGTGTACTTTGTTTTCATGTGTGCAATTCTGTGTGTGTGTGTCTGTTTCGTTTTGTCTTAATTGAGCTCATAATTCATATATTGATTCTATTAATGAATCAGTCTAAATACCATACGATTGATTGATACTTCAGTTGACTTAGCACAACGACTAATCATTATTATCAAACCATATCACATAGAAAATTCATTACTTACTTACTTTCGCCTGTTACCCCCAATGGAGCATAGACCGCTCACCAGTTTTCTCCAACCAACTCTGTCCTAAGCTTCCCTCTCCAGTTCTGTCCAATGTTTGCTCATTCCTCTCATATCTTTCTCTATTTCTCGGCGTAGTGTGTTCCTTGGCCTTCCTCTTTTCCTTTTACCTTGAGGGTTCCATGTGAGTGCTTGTCTCGTGACGCAGTCAGATGCTTTTCGTAGTGTGTGTCCTATCCACTTCGACCGCTTCTTCCTCATTTCCTCCTCCACTGGATTCTGGTTTGTTCTCTTCCACAGTAGGTTGATGCTGATGTTGTCTGGCCAACGAATACGAAGTATTTTGCGTAGGCAGCTGCTAAAAAACACTTGTATCTTCTGGATGATGGCTTTCGTAGTTCTCCATGTTTCCGCTCCATACAGTAGAACTGTCTTGACATTTGTATTGAAAATCGTGATCTTGGTTTTGGTTGATACAAAATTCATGCTTACTAAAATTATTTTACAGTAAGTAAACTTCTAGTCCAATCACAATCAGTAGCTGAACTATGTCAGTTCCAGAGATTGCCAGATTGCGACAATTAATTTTCACTTCTATGAGATGAGCATTGCACTTTATTAGGACAATCGGATCTCTGCGTGACTTTGAAATATCCAGAAATTCCTATATCGTGAATTAGAACAAAGATGCTTAAGCATTACATATATATATATATATATATATATGTTATTCCAATACTCAAGATGAGAGAGATTCTAATACTTTCGAACTTTCTAGTCATTTGACATTGTCGTCAAATGAATCATCCTATTACTACACAACAGGATCGATCTTTCAAATTAAATGACATTCACTAGTATTTAAACACCAGTGAAGTTAGCGTGGACTACAACTTGTCTACAAAAAAAAACATCACTAGAGGAGAACGGTTCAACATGATATGATAAAATCCTGAATTTGATACTTACTTACTTACGCCTGTTACCCCCAATGGAGCATAGGCCGCCCACCAGCAGCATTCTCCAACCAACTCTGTCCTGGACTTCCCTTTCCAATTCTGTCCAATGTTTGTTCATTCCTCTCATACCTTTCACTATTTCTCGGCGTATTGTGTTCCTTGGACTTCCTCTTTTCGTTTCGCCTTGAGGGTTCCGTGTGAGGGCTTGTCTCTTTGACGCAGTTAGGTGCTTTTCGTAATGTGTGTCCTATCCACTTCCACCGCTTCTTCCTGATTTCCTCCTCCACTGGAATTTGGTTTGTTTTCTCCCACAGTCAGTTGTTGCTGATGGTGTCTGGCTAACGAATACGAAGTATTTTGCGTAGACAACTGTTAATAAACACTTTTATCTTCTGGATGATGGCTTCGGTAGTTCTCGAAGTTTCCACTCCATACAATAGACATTTGTATTGAAAATCGTGATTTTGGTTTTGGTTGAAAGTTGTTTGGAGTTGCAGATATTTTTCAATTGTAGAAATGCAGCCATTGCTTTGCCAATCCTTGCCCTCACATCTGCATCGGATCCACCTTGATTGTCGATGATGCTGCCCAGATATGTAAAGTTGTTAACTTCCTCCAAGGCATCTCCATGAAGATTGATTTGGTTGGTACCCTGAATTTGATGTGTGTTGTTGTTTTTTGTAAATTTTATTATTTTACAATGAAATCATATTGAAAGTGTGTTGTATTATGTGTATGTCAAATAAATGTGCATGATTATTTTATTGATTTTTAATAATTAGATTGGAAGCAAAGTGATCGACCTATTCCAGATGAGCGTGAATGGTTATCAGTCAATGGAAGCAAATACATTGGACAGCTTGGTGGTTGGTTTAATCTCACCCCCAGTAAGTAGGTATTGTTATTTGTTTTTTTAATCCAGATGAAGGCCAATTGTAAAATTAGTTGACACACAACAATATATATCTTCAATCTGTTCAGGTTGCATGTATGCTAGCTCTTACGGATAGATAACTCAACACTATTTATTTAAACTCAATGGTTTTTTATTATAATAATAAGGCGGTGAGTTTCAAAGTGAAAATCAACATATTAGAAAAACGAAATCGCAATCAACTGACTTAGTCCCCCCAAATATGACAAAAAACGGATTTGTATGAGTCGTCCATTGTTCATTTTTGAAAAAAAATAATTATTAACGAATTGATCTTAGTCTCATTCAAACTTTATTTCAGTCAGTCAGATGCAACGTAGAACTTCGTACGTGAGTACATCAGTTCATGTCACCATACCACATCAGCACAGAGATGTAATTGTCAATTCAAATCCAATAGTAGAAGAGGTAGTAAAGGTATTAGAAGTAATCGGAGAGGTTGGGATTAGAAGATATTATTGAAGAAGTATGATTCAGTGAGAAAAGTTTAGAAAGTCAAAACTAGAGTTGTTGAAGAATCCAGAAGATTAGGATTTAAGAGAACACAAACAATAAATGCACCTGCGCCATTGATAACGATGTCGAACCATGTCATTCAAGGTCTCTAACCATCGATTATTATCATCTCGCGAACCCCAACCAAGGTAGTCGACAATTACCGACATGGCTAAGTCCACTCGTCAATGACTTCATGGATTTCTACCATGTTTTCGTTTGGCCAAACTTTATTTGGACGGAATAATAAAAATAATTTAATCGCTAATTCACAATTCGATTGTTTGAAAAAAAAACAGAAAATGAGTATTGTGAATTTAAAGCTTTATATTACCATTCAAAATGAATTTGAATAATAATCTTTCTATGACCATAACTCTCAAGTTCTGCTTGAATTCAATTCAAAGATTACAGGATACTTAGTTATATTTATTTAATCCTCAAAGGTCGGTAAAACAATACATTTTTATAACAAACTGGTATGAGACTCATCAGCAGTTGGATGCCGGTCCAGTGGTTCGGAGGTTAGGCGTTTGCGCGAAGGTTACCGAAGGTTACAACGGGTTCGAATCCTGCGAGATGCAGGAGTTGCGGATGTGTACAGCTGATGAGTCCCATACCAGAATGAGATGGCTGTCCAGTGCTTCTTCCAGGTTTTTAATGGTGTGGTCTAACAATGATTGATTGATGATTTCAAATGTGTAAAAATAATCTGTTGACCGAATTATATATGGATAATGTAGCAAGACAATTGAAAAATTGCAAACTGTCCATCAGCCGTCTAGTAACTGTTCTCTATACGCCTAATCTAGCCACCATACCAGAAACAAAGATTATTATTTTAGTCGAGATCATATGAGTAGTCAAATGCACGTTCTACATGTTGTTTTTTGTTTTACAGCTTCAATGTTGTGGTGTGAATGGTGGAGACGATTTCAAGAGTTCACCTAATTTCAAGCGCACTGATACTTATGGTGGAAAATCATATTCCAGTAAGCTCCTGCTCGTTTTCATGTGCACCTGGTTAAAAGCAATAATTCAGGATTGTATAAACAAAAGTGTCACTTAGGTTAAATGGCTTAGCATTGATAGGTGTTTTGATTAATGGATAGATGGTTAGTTGAATAAAGTCGATTGTGAACTCTGGACGGTAATTCCTTGTTGGTTAGGACTTAACAGGATGAGAAATTTGAAAGTTAACACATACCTACAATACATTATAAACTAACAGAATAATGAGTTAAATGTAGGAAATTTTTAAATGGCTAACGATAGTATCCAGAACTTGTGATTCATCCTATTAGGTAGGGACTCATTGGACTCATAGAAGCACGCGCAACTCAGAGTTGATGTTCGAACCTAGTACCGTTTGATTCAAATGCTATCGTTTTACCCACTTAGCTATTGAGTACAGACGACAGCTACTCACTTTTCTAATTTGAAATTTAAATGGTTTGGAATATCCCGCTGTTTATATTTTGGCAGCTTTGATTGTCATCTGGTCGGTAGACTAAGTAGCTAAGTGGATGTAGGGAGTTCTGGAGTGGATATCAACTCCGAGATGCAGGTACATCTAGCCGATAAGTCCCAAATAGGACAAAACACATCATAGATTGTGTCTACAGGAAATTTTTTCCATTTCAATTTTAAATGACAAAAGATTCATGGACTCATTATTAGTCCATAATCAAAAGGACTTCCCTGAAAACTGTCTAACTAGCTAAGTAAGGATATGTCTTGCACAATTTTTAAGTAGTAAACTAAGAATCATATTCGGCTTAGCAAACTTTGGTACACGAAGTCTAAAAGTAATAGTCTAGGAAGTTATATAGATCTTGATTAAGGATATTTATTATATGTAATGAATAAAAGTGTTGTTTTAATGTTAAAAAAAAATTTGTAATACTCCTCTATTTGCTTCCAATACAACATACAGACATTGAATACCCTGTGCCATGCTGTAAAATGAATGCAAATTACGCGATTACCGATTCTACATGTCCAAATACTTTTACTGACGCTAATAGTAATGCTAAACAGGGTTGTAAAGAACCACTGAAAGCATTGTTTCTTCAATATATGGATTATGTAGCCTATGGATTAATCGGTGCATTTGTTGTACTGGTAAGTAAAACTAAATCTTATTATTATTATTATTATTCATTATTGAAGATTGTTATTTTATTATTGAAATCATAAAATCAATCATAGTTAGAACACCATTAGGACGAGTGTACTGTGCACAAGTTCGCTCCGTCCTACTGTATGGATGCGAGACTTGGCCGATCATCGATGTCTCCGAAGCATTGTTCGTATATCATGGGACAATCGTATAAGCAATGCTGTCGTTAAGAAACGAGTTCTAGGTAAGGATGGCAAATCAATAGATGAAGTAGTGAAACTTCATCAGTTGAGGTGGTTGGGACATGTGTTACGTATGTCTAACCACTGACTGCCTCGACGAGCTATGTTTTGCAGTGTAGGAATAGGTTGGAAGAAAGCTAGGGGCGGCCAAACTGAAACATGGCACAAATCCATGAAGTCACTGACAAGTGGACTGAGTCATGTTGGTAGATGTAGACTACCTGGTTGGGGTCCGCGAGATGATAGTCACCAATGGTTAGAGACCTTGAATGACATGACTCAGAATGGTTTGCAATGGCACAGGTGCATCCACTTTTTGTGTTCTATGAAATTCTAAGCTTCTACATTCCTCATCATCTCTACCTTACTCCTTCTAAATTTATCTCACCGAATTATACTTCTGGAATCATATCTTCGCTCACTAATCTTCTCCATTACTGCTAATACTTTTATTATTGCTATCACTGTTGGTAAACGAGCAATGCTTCTTAAACATCTATAATCGAATACTAATAGCCTACAAATGTCCTCTACACTTACCAACCATGTTTCACATCCATACAGTAGGACGGAGCGAACTACAGCGCAGTACACTCGTCCTTTAGTGAGCAAACGGAAATCTCGCCTACGCCATAAGTGACGCAGGTTGGCAAAAGCCAATCGAGCTTTCTGTATCCGAGCTGAGATTTCGTCAGTCACCAGACCATCGGCACTGATGAGACTCCCAAGATAAGTGAATCGGTCTACACGTTCGACTGCTTCACTCCCTATCACTAGTTCAGGTGCCGATGAAACCCAATCTTGAAGCAACATTTTGCATGCTCGCATTGTTGCTTATGGTAGTCAGAAGACTCTGCATTTTGTCAGCGTCTTCACCGAATAGAACTGTATCATCGGCATATTCTAAGTCAATAAGCGGGCCTCATGGTAGAAGGTCAACTCCTGAAAAATCTGACGAGCTTAATGTTAACTGTAAGAGGATGTCTATGACAAAGTTAAACAAGAATGGAGAGAGTGGACATCCCTGACGGACACCACCTGAAGTGAAGAATTCCGTTTACAGTTCGCTTTAAGCTCTCACTCGACCAGTAGTGTTCGAGTAGAGAGCTTGTATGAGGTTAATGTACTTCTTTGGTACACCTTTCAATGACAGGCACTGTCACAGAACCTCACGATCAACAGAGTCAAATGCCGCTCTAGGTCCAAGGACACGACTATTGTCGGACGTCTAAATGTGTGTCATATTGAAAATGAACATTGAATATTGAATTCTACAGCATCTTTTTTTTAATTCACTTGTTTAAATCATAAAATATGACATCAAACAAAAACATCATTCATTTTCTCTTCCATTTTTTTACAATTTCAGTTACTTGTTGTTCTATTCACGTTGTTAACCATTTGTATTGATGTTGTTTGAACACGAAGACGCAGAAAAGAATAATAATAATTTACAGTTCAATTGATATCATCATCATCATCAGTTTTCAAAAAAAAAAAACTCTTGTGTATTATTAATCAGTTTAAAAAGAGTGAAATACTCGACTACAATTAATCTTTTTTTGTTAATTGGTGGATATCGGCCTTTTTGAACAAACTAATCCTTGCCTTCACATTGTTGGTGTGTGTGTGTGTATGTAGTGTTGACTGACGGGTTGGTAACTCTTCTTTTCTGAACTTCCAATCTGTCTTAAAATATGACATAACTTTTTTTTTATAAGCTATAATTATGATTCTATAATTTATTGCTGCTGTTAACAATATTCCATATCAAATAATCAATCAACCAATGAATAATGATGCATCATTGTACTCTATCTCAATTGGTGTGTGTGTATGTGAAGGTCACTTACTACTTATTGTTGTTTTGATTGGTTGGTTGTTATTATTACTTTTTTTTTACTATCAACATTCATGCTACCACTTGAATAGCCACTCTGTATACTCTTTTTGTTTTGATCATATTTCCGATAGTAAGGAGTGTGATTTGTTGGATTACTACTATTATTATTATTATTATTATTATTATTACGACTACATGCGTTGTATTTCTCATTGTTTACACTAAAATAAAGTTTATATTGTATTCAATATAATAATAATAATAATAATAATAATAATAATAATGTAAGGGGGGGGGGAAGATTGGTTGTAATAAACACACACTTTCTTATTGGTCGACAAAAGCAAGTAAGCTTTCATGGTATTGATTAGTAGTGGTAAGAAAAAGACGATCACCTTTAAACATTTCGTTGAGAATTCGATAAGCGAAAAGTCGACAGAATTGTGAACTGTTTTCTTGGTTACTTACTGATCAATTTGTATTAGTGTACTTGAATTGTAGTCAACAGTGTTTCGGCTGATTTGAGAATCTCCCAGTATTCATGATAAAACTTAGACTAAACACGCAGTATCTATTGAGTTCAAAAAACCAACCAACTTGTAGAAAGAATACTTTTTCATCATGGAATCATCATATTTTTAACATGAAGGGAATTAATTATAAATGTCAACTGAAGAGTACTTACTATCCAACTAATTACTTTCGGTTGTGTACACACAAAAAAAGTACACCACGAATCAAATACTGTCAATAATCTTGAATAGAATGATCCATCCTATTTACTCTGGGAATTGAGATCAGACAGTGCATAATTTCTTCTGTAATATATAATACAACCGTATTATGTTAGGTGCGTAGCTAAAAAATGTCTTTGCTTTTAATCAAGTTTGAATCTAAAAGTCAGTTCGTTACAGGGACATTGGAAAATGCATTGAATCATAAATTCGGGGACGAAATTCCATTCTAATTTGGATCGTATTGTAAAAGATATTTTCATATCATCAACATGATTTTGCATCAGAAACACTGAACTCAGAAATACATCATACACTGTGTGTACCAGTCGATAAGTAACTGATTGGAATCCTGTATGATACTGTGGTTCCTTGTCAGTCAGTCAGTTGCAACGTAGAACTTCGTACGTAAGTACATCAGTTCATGTCGCCATACCATATCAGCACAGAGATGTAATTGTCAATTCAAATCCAATAGTAGAAGAGGTAGTAAAGGTATTAGAAGTAATCGGAGAGGTTGGGATTAGAAGATATTATTCAAGAAATATGATTCAATGAGAAAAGTTTAGAAAGTCAAAACTAGAGTTGTTGAAGTATCCGGAAGATTAGGATTTGTGTAGCGGTTCCTTGTAAGTAACTGAATATTTTAGTAGCAATATCTTTAACTGTATGGTGAGTGCATCGATTTACTCTACTCAAATTGCAGATATTTATTTTGTTGGCAAGAGTAAATCAAAAAACGGAAGCTATGTATATTTTCAGGGCCTTACTGACCACCTCTCCTGTTTGCGTTAGTTCATATTACAAAAATTTAAAAACTGTAGAGAAGATCAGTCAACCAGAAAAGATATTCAAAATTGATTGACAAGAGGTAATCAACATTATATTTATAGGTTAGGTTAACACGATTGCAATGCACAAACAGATGGCACCTTTCTAACATCAAAAACAACCTTCCATAACACTTGCACAACTTAAAATGATTTATTCGTTTTAGAGTGTGAACAGCTACTATAAATTTATCTGATAATTTGATGAAATATCCCTCAAGAAACAACCTTCCACGGTGTGGGCAGCCGGAAATTGACAACCGCCCTCATACCCGTACCAGCACACGAGACCGAATTGGTCAAAATCAAATCAACCTGACCATTCATTATGCCACTAAATGATAATGAAAACTGTGAAGAGATTAATTACAAGGATTAAGATTACTACTGTACACGTATCGTTACCTGATAATGTAATTATGTATACTTATCTGTGGGGGCTTTCGTAGTCTTCACACATGTAGCTAAGTTCTGCAAGCCTTAACACTCAAAACTATTTTATCTATTGATAACGACTGAACCATTCATTATTGACTTCAAATCATTTTTATCTGCTCGGCACAACATTCTACTCTTCCGATCACAAACTATTACACAACTCGTTGTAAAGTTGCATGAAACTTTTGTGGTGCTGTGGTGCGAGCTACTTATAAGTAGTATATGACGTGAGTGTCAACGTAATGTCTGGCAGAAGAAGATGGTGGGGAAGATCAAGAAAGGAAGAGTTAGAAGAACACAATGGAGTTTGTATGAAACGCATGAATAGTGACAATGGATTGATGTTTTGCAACAGGAACAGTTCAGTTCGATATGATGAACTGATTTTTTGCAATTCTGATACAGAATGACAGCCACAATCTAAGCGCGATCCAAGGTTGTTGAGACGAATCACCGGGTTACTTCGAGAGAATCTAACGTTCTTACTGTGCTTCATAATTTATTTCATATTTAACCTAACCAGTTATATAAGGTTATTCTGATCACTTTGAGGTCGGTAGTATCATATGGTTACAGTAACTTATATTTAACTTGAAATGGTTATGTTACTTATGAGTAGTTCAGCAAAATAATACAAATATATCTTCATTGACCCAGTAATGTTTTTATTTTGCATGAGTAACAAGTTTTTCAACAAGAGGAGGATTTTAGGAAAAACAAGTTTCAGTTACTAAGACTACTCATGAAAAAGATTACTTATCAATAAAGATAACCGGAAGGGAGATAATACACATCATACAAACTATAGCGAGGTTTATACAGTTTGAATCACGAAAGGACCTTAGAATGAGCATCATTGTCTGTGATGAATAACTGTCTCACAAATAATATGGTTGAACCCCCCTTGTCATGAGTTTTCATTCGAAATCTGGGAGTTGCATCTTTAATCTAGTTAATAGTGAACAGATAGAAAGACGGGACTCGTGGAGTTCAACTACACAGGTGTGAAACAATTACCCACTGAAGACAATGGATGAAGTTTACGCAACATCGTGGATTGATTGAAGTTAGACGTGTGCACTATTGTATGCTCAGTCCGTAGTTGTACGCAAGTGAGACTGAAGGTGTTGGGTTCTTTTTTATAATGTTCCTATGTAGCTATTCGAAATCCTACCGATTGACCAAATTCAGATATTCTAGTGCGACTCCAATACTATTCCCAAATCTCCAATATATATCAGAACACAACACCGTTAGATGAAGTTGTTTATGGGGGGTCGAGTACAGAAGGAATGAAAGAATAATAAGCTCTGCAGATAATGCATATTTATACAGTTAGGCCGAATAGGAAACAACATTGAAGTACGTGACATTGACAGTTAGGACGATCAATAGGAATTGACCAATAGAATTAGTCTTCCAAAAAAATGATTCTCTTGGGGATATTTGATGAATATCCTAACATTTCTATCCTCTCTAATGGGGTCATTGAAAGGCAATGAAAAGAAGTCTCATACCAGTGCTTCCTGGTTTCAGTTTTATTTGAGGATTTGAAGCACAATAACGAACATATAAAGGGGCACCGAAATAAATATCCCCCTTATAGTAAGTTTAAGGTTATGAAGAGATACAGGAATGATGAGAACGATAAAGAAAGGAATAAAAACGAGAATATACATTAGTGTATTAGAGAATAATAATAATGCGAGAAGGAGTTCAGTTAAGAAAAATACAACTACAGAGAAGTATTTCAGCTGAAGAATTTTCCTTGATTGATATGGAGAAAGTAAAAGAAAATTACAACAGAACCGAGAGTGGCTTCTGATGATATCAGAAGCCCATCGGAATAGAAAGGTAGTCTTATACACAACCACGCTAGTCGAAGATGATCACGATGTGATCAATCTGAGTCCATGATTGGGGATTGAGGAGAAGAACACCAAAAATCATATTAAGGATAACTGTGCTGATAGTTAGTGCTAGCCAGAAATAGACTGTTGTTTGCGCAAGGTCGCAGTATCCAACGTTGTCCGAAGAGACATGTTTGTAAGCATATTATTTTTATGAGCTTTCCGAAAAATACAAACAGAATACTAAAACGACGGTACATCGAGTTGAAAAGGTGATAACATTTGTAAACTAATCGAAAAATACCAGTAAACTCAATTAATAAATGACTGTGTTCTTGGAAGATATAAAAAATATTTATCTGCCATCAGTCTTCGAACTACTTCTTTGTGCCGTGTAAATTACGCTTCACACTCAGATCAGTTCTTGCGACTACAACATAAACAACTTCTTGAAATAATATCTAATATAACGGACATTAACACCGTTGGATGCCGGCCCTGAGGTCCAATGCTTATGCGTTTGCACACAATACCGAAGGTCCCAGGTTCGAATCCTGCGAGGTGCAGGAGTCGTGGATGCGACGATGATGTGCTGATGAGTCACATACCAGGACGAAACGGGCTTCCAGTGCTTCTAGGTTTCTAATGATGGTCTAACAATGATTGATTGATGATCTCAAATAAATATGTAAAAAAAAGTTATATGAACTTCTAAAAATCCTAATAAAGAATGAAATTTACTAAACTTCTAAAGTACTTTTGTTATTAATTTTTGAAATGAAAAAAAAAGAATATCGATGAATAAAGGTTTAGAATGAAAGAATGTCAAGATATCTAAGTATATTGGCCAACAACAGATCATATTTCAAAAGTTATGTTGTTGATGTAAGACTGAGTTCATCGAATATATATATGATAAGCTTGTATTGTACTGGTCAGCAAAGCGAACAAATCATTTTCCTAACTGATATGCTTAAAACTATAACGATTTCACCTTAGTCGGTCAACAAGAGCAAAGCATCGATACAATGACACAATAGGCTACTGTGATTCGATTGTCCCCCGCCGAGCTAACTTAAACAAAAAGTCTTGATAAAGCGTAGAAAGTGTAATTCTATAAACAACCAGAAAATATGAGGTCCACAAACACACAAATAGAGTTTATATATACAAGACAGAAACGTTCTTGAGAAAGACACAAAAATAGTATAAACAAATTACACATCAACCAATGAGAGTCTAGGATTTTCCTAGTAGGAAATCTAATTTCAAGGTCAACTGACCAGCCCATGCGCGAAAACACAAAATCTAGAATTATGATTTTTTTCAAGTGAATTCTGAAGATCTAACAAATCACCAACACCAACTCGGCTCACTTACAAAACCAATTGACTGA